ACACACACACACACACACACAGTGTTAACTCCCAGAACATGTGACACCTCCTGCGCGTCAGCATCCAGACGCTCGTCTTTACCTCATCGTCTCCGTTGGTTTTGAGATCCACTGCAGAGAAACCGTGAACCTTTGAGGACGGACAGAACTGGAAGTTTAACCTGGAGGGAGGGAGGGAGAGAGAGCGAGAGAGGGAGGGAGAGAGAGATTTAATTTACTGCCGTCCAGCATCACATAAACACACCTTCATCTTCTCCGTCACACATTTTCACAGTCGGAAGTTTTTATTAAAGATGTATTTTCTGTGTGTCTTACCCGAGGTCCTCGATGCTGAGGGGGGGTCCGGAGCCGAGCGGGTTCCTCAGCATCAGGTCCTGCAGTCTGGTGTTCTTCTCGTCCTCAGACAAACTCTTACTCGCCAAGATCTGCCTCCTCTTCACCGCCAGCTCCTTCACCTCCTTTAAGAAACTGGCTCTGTGGAACAAAAGCAGAACAGATGAAACGTGTTCTCAGCCGCTGCAGGTCGACGGAGACGCTTCAGATTCAAACTCTGTTTGAAGCAGGTGGAGGAAACTGAAGAGCTCATCTTTCTTTTCTTCCACTTCCTCTACTTCCCCTTCTTTCCTCATCTTTGTCATTTCCCTCCCTCTTCATTTCCTCCTTCACTTATTTCTTACTTTAAAAAAAACGAAAGGAAAGAAAAGAGCAAAGAAACAAAGAGAAAGAGGAGGAGAGCGTTCTGACCTGTGCGGGTTGACCAGCTGGAAGTCGTCCCAGGTCAGGATGCCGTGGTACCAGGCCGGTGGTTTGGGTTTGGGTGGGTCCATGATGAACTCGGACTTGGAGTCCTCGTCGAAGCTGCCCACAGAATACGTCTCCTGGCTCTCCTCGGTGGACGCCTCCGACTGCACCTCAGACAGCAGCAGGAAGGGATGCAGGTAGGGCCGGTCGGGGTCGTGACCATGCGGCGAGCTGCGGGACTGGTACAGCAGCTTGCTCATGTTGGACTTGATGTCTCCCATGCAGAGCAGCTTGAAGAACGGCTGGGACACGGGCAGGTCCACCAGCCGGTTGTCCTGGATACACTTGGCCAGGAAGACGCCCAGGAAGTGGAACAGCTTGGTGATGCGCTCCAGCTCTTCGCTGTCCTGAGGGAACGGGGCAGCGAACAGACCGCAGGAGCGCTGCACGTAGAAACCAGGAGGCTTCAGACCCCCGCCCAGGTCCACCTGAAACCAACACAGCAGCACCTTCAGTCCACTGTGTTTCAAACCCCTGAGGACAAACAGACCCAGGATCTGTTTTCTTTACTTCACTGAACCTCACGTGGGCCTGAAACCTGAACTACAAAGCTGCTCGTCAACGTGTCAGTCAAACATTATTTACCTTTCATTCAGGCGAGTGCGTCACAATCGACCAACGAGTCAAGTAGAAAACACACGTTTTAAAATGTTAATCATAAAAACAAACTAGAGTTACAGCCCTGACGCCACTTTGACCTTGACCTCCCAAATCAGTTCACGTGAGTCTGACCTGTCGTGACTCGTCGTCGGGGAAGTCGTCGTCACACAACCAGATTCCCAGAGACGTTCTCTGAAACTCTGCAGCCACCAGAGCGTAAAACTCCAGAGTCGGACCGAGGCCTGTTCCCTCCTCCCCCTGAAACTCCACCTGGACAGACAGAGACACACGTGTGGACGCAGCTGATTATTCCATGTTCATGTTCTACACGTCTCTCTCAGTAGTAATTCATGTGGAAGAATCTCTCACCTCCAGCACGGACTTCCGGTCAGCGTGGATCTGCATGACAGACTCCGCCCACTCCATCATGGCGTCCCCACGGGGGACTTTCACTCGCTCGTGTTTGAGGCGACCCACCCTGAACTCTCCAGGATCGTCCCGCCGCACTGTCGTGGACGGCCGAGAGCGCTCCATGGTCGCCTCCCGTCGGTTTTGCAGCCACACGATCGCTCTGCAGACGCACGGAGGAGGAAATATTAATGAATAGAAATATTATGATGAAACAAACAGAAATGAAAAAACACCACAACAAATAGGATGAAATGAAACAGAGTGAATGAGGCCAAAAAGATTATTTTCTGATAAACTGAAAACCTGCGACGTCCTGACGGAGCGCATCTCAAATATGAAAACTAATGTTTGTTGATGAACTTGTTTCCAAACGTCTCCTGGTTTTACTGAACTCATCGAGAGTTTAGACTAATTCCAAACGTCTGCGTTACGTTCAGCGCGGCTCACTGTGGGTGAGAGGGAGGGGTCAAGGGAGGACCTGTCCCTCAGGCTCACCTGGACGCTCCGAAGGCGGTGCAGGTGAAGTAGAGCTGTCGGGTTTCGAAGGGGATGAGGAAAGGACACTTGGAGGTGAGCTGTTCACACCAGTCGGGTAACGCTCCGCTGGCCAGAGCCAGAGGCTCCTGGGACCAAAGAGAATAAAAAGAGAGAGAGAGAGAGAGAAAGAGATATTCTTTTACACTCATTTTTATACATGCAGTTTTTAACCCACAATCCCCCCCACACACACACACACACACACACACACAAAGGGCTCATAGACATGTTAATATGGAGAAACCCAAATCTCTGTGGACTGAGCTGCTGCTGCCCAAACCACAGTCACCACAGAAGATCTCCTGCAGCTCCTTCGCTGACTCACCTCGATCTGCTGCAG